ACAGGCTGAGCCGCCAAGCCCGGCTAGTGCACTTTATTTAAATTGCTTGCTAACCGGGCTCAGTGGCTCAGCCTGTAATCCCAGCACTTTGGGAGGCTGAGGAGAGAGGATTGCCTGAGCCCAGGGGTTCGAAATCAGCCTGAGCAACGTGACAAGACCTTGTCTCTAGAATAAATTTTTAAAAATTAACTGGGTGTGGTGACACATGCCTGTAGTTCCAGCTACTTGGAAGCCTGAGGCAAAAGGATCCCTGAGCCCAGCAGGTCAAGGCTGTGGTGGCCGTGAGCATGCCACTACACTTCAGCCTGGGCAACAGAGTGAGACTCCAACTCAAAAAATAAAAATAAAATAAAAAATAAATTTCTTGCTAACTTTGCCTGAAGTCCTAGACCATGTCTCATTTGATTTTAATAGTGTTGCATTCCCAGTACCTAGCACAGTGCCAAACAAGTAAAAGGTACTTGATAAATATTTATGGAATAAGTAGATATTTTTTTTTTTTTTTACTACTACTGGTAATTTTCATCCAGGTGAATCATTATAAAATAATAACAAAACAATTTTTATCCTAATAATCTATTAATTTCTTATTTTATTTCAGTGATTTATACTTCAATACACAAATAAAAGGGACCTAAATTATAATTCCATAAAAACATATAGTCAGTGAATTTGTTTGATTCATTATTTTAGCTGATTTTTCTTAGAACCAGGCAGAGTCTAATGGAAGGAGACCTAGGTTTGGAATAACAGAGCTTGGGTTGGTGCCCTGAACTACTGACTAGTTGTCACTTACTGATTTTGAGCCTGTTTCCTTTATTCATAAATGAGAGAAGTCTAAAAGACATGAAGTATTGTGAAATCAGTCTGGAGACTGTTCACCAATTTGTTACTACACATTTAGCTGACTGTGAATACAACAAAATAAAATCACATTTGGGGGGATAGAACATATAATCTTGATATCATTCACATCATGCTGAGTAAAACTATAAGGAAATTTCTAACCTTGCAAAAATGTCTAGCTGAGGAAAAGGTTAACACATCATTAATTGAGTACTTACTATGTACAGGCAATGTTCTAAGCCCTTTACATGTATTAACTCATTTATTCCTATCAGTGATTCTATAAGAAAGTTATAGCCGGGTGCAGTGGCTCACGCCTGTAATCCCAGTATTTTGGGAGGTGGAGATAAGAGAACTGCGTGAGCCCAGGGTTTCGAGACCAGCCTGGGCAACTTGGCAAAACATGATCTCTATAATAAATAAAAAAAATTAGCCAGGCATAGTGGCATGCATCTTTAGTTCCAGCT